TGATTAAGGTGATGGTTATTACTGTTGCCAGTGGTTTTTGATGTTGCTTGTTTGACTTTTAAGGAGGCTCAAGTAGGGAACAGCATCCCTCTGTCTTGCAGTGATGGAGAAGGGAAAGAGGAGACAATGACAGCACCTGTGTCCCTTACTAGCAAACTAAAAGCAGCAGCCTGTGTTAACTGGAGAAAGCTGAAGAAGTCAGCATCTGATGCACTGTGCTCAGGCAGGAGCATTGTAACTTGGCTTGAGTTTTCTTTTTTCTGTGTGGCCAGGTAATAGGCAGAGCTTGAGGACTAGGAGAGGCTTCAGTGTGAGCTGTGCTTTTTGTTGGAAGATGTTGGTATGTGGATTTGTGGGGTTGGTGAGACAACAGAGCAGGTTCAGCTCCTCTCTCCCCCCATCTAACTGGATTTGGTTGAATAATAGGTATTGTGGTGCCATGTTCCACTCACAGTAAATAATGTCTGAAGCAAGGCTGAAATACATAGAAGTGAAATAGGAGTAAAGTGCTAATACTTGACTGAACAAATAGAATCAGATAAAATTTTGTTTTATTCTAATACTGATTTTAAAAACTCCAATTGTATATTCTTGCATATACAATCAAACCAATTTAAAAGCTAATCCTTTTTATTGTGAAGAAAATCTTGCCTCTCAGAGGAGCCATATTTAGAAGTCATTGCCTGGGTTGACAGCAGAGTCCTGCACAGCTACATCCAAACTAAACAGGGTTACTTTTCCAAAGGTGTGCTGCAGAAATACTAAAGTTGTCATCAATGGAAACAATGGATGTTCTCTCCTGGATTTGATTAATTGATTGGTATTGAAATGTGCTGTGAGGAATCTTGGTTACTATTGATACTTGAAGGCCTGTGAAATCTGTAATGTCATTCTTTAACAGGAGTTCTGGATTTCTTGTACTTTCACACAGAGTCAGTTGCAAGAACAAAACATATATATGAGTTTGAAGTAAAATAAAAACCCTCATTGATGGGTCTCTTTGTTCACAGAGTCTGAATTTAGTTTTTCACTAAGAAGCTTGAATTAAAGTGAATCAGAAAACTTTAATTTCATTGTATTACAATGAGAAATTCTAAGGATATTTCATTATCTAAGGAAACATTCATATAATGTTAGGAAATTGGTATCTTTTAATCTTAAAAGAAATTGTAATGACAATCTGAATGTTTTCTATTTTTAGCAAAGCTTTTACAGAAAATGAACGTGTGAAGAATGGGAGAGGGCAACTACAGTTGGAAAAAGACAACTGATAATAGAAAAAGTTTCTTCAGTGTTGAATGTTACTTTATCTTGGCTGGGAAAAATGACTTGAAAAATAACTGCAGAATAAATGACTGAACTTTGAGATGGTGATAGAAGTGTATCTACCAATTTTTTATTCTGTAGAAAGAGTTCATGATCTAGTGAGCCAAACTGAAATTACAGTCAAAACTGGGGACTTTTAGTCTTTCTTGGGAGTAGATGAGGGATATTTTGAAAGCATCATAAAGCCTACTCAGTCATTTCAAGCAAGTTATCAGCTCAGATAGCTCTGATCTCAGCTCTTCAGTTCAGTCAGGATATTTTACTTGTTTTTCTGGAGCGCTCTGTGAACTGGTAAATATTTTCACTTTAACACAGCAGTGACTGTTTTTTTTTCTTTTCTCTTTTCTTTGCAGTGATTCTATTCTGTATGGCAGCCCTAATATTTCCAATAGGATTTTACATCAATGAAGTTGGAGGTCAGCCCTATAAATTACCCAATAACACAGTGGTTGGGTCTTCGTATGTACTGTTTGTCTTATCCATTTTCTTTACAATAGTGGGACTTCTATTTGCTGGCAAAGTTTGTTTACCTGGCTGATGAATGTCTGGACTGCAGGACTTTATTTTGGAAAAGAGCAAGACATCAGAATTGCATTTTTAGGAGGATGCCTAAATCAGACTATCAAACACTGACTGAAAAGAGGAATGCTTTGACTTGTTCTCACTATGCACTTTGGATGAAAAAAGGAGAGCCTTTCCCATAACCAAATACAGCCCACATTGATGAATCTCCTGAGCATACTTCAATGCAGTCAGGTCTGCACTGTGATAGGAACTGGTGAAGAATGCTTTCCACTGACAAGCATAACGCCCCACCTTACTGGACTGTTCCTGTTTTTAACGTCTAACAATTTGGAAGTCAAAGTATTTATGAACTTTGTGGTGGACCAGAGGGTTGTGGAGGAACTCAAGTGAGGCTGGCCTCGCTGTTTAGGAGATTAGTGTTTTACATCTTCCTTCTGATGAGCAAAGCCTTTGGCACCATTGTGGATCAATCTCGCATTACTGCACCAAGAAGCCAATAGATCAAAACATGTTCTCTCAATGTATGGAACAGCAAAAAGACATACATCCCCTGCTCCCCCATAAGCTCTAGGAAACACTAAGGAACGTTGTAGAGGGGGATTTCGTCCTTATATTTATATAAATATATATATATAAATATATATATTTTGCTGATGCAGTATACAGTGTGTGTGTGTATGTGTGTGTGTGTGTATATACACATATGTATATATATATATATGTATATACACACAAATGATTCCTGGAAAAGAACTCAGAATGCTTTGCTAGCAAAACACTGTGGTGTGCAAAACTAGAACTCAATAGAAAAAAGCCATTTTTCTGAAGGCCACATAGCTGAGAGTCTTCAGTTTACCTCATTCTTTGTAGCAGCCCTTGATTTTAACAGTTTTTTGTAATAGGTACAAACGATCCCATGCCTTTCTAGGTGCAATTTTAAGTTAAGCTAAAATTCTTTTTATGGTAATTTATTTGTATATGAGGGTAGAAGGTGAGATCATGTCATACCTTAAAATCCTAATTTTGGGAAACTGACACTATTTAAATTATTAGCAACTGTTGTACAGAAAAATCTCTTTTTTCTACTTCATTGTTACATTAGCATTCATACATGTTCAAGCACAGCATTTTACCATAGGTAAGCATTCCTTTTAGCACATATAAAATGCAATGTTTAAAGTAATGCAAACACTATCCCACTGCAAAGATGGATGAACTTATTTTCAGCTGAATATTAATTCATCTTTGCCAAAAAAATGAGCAATATAATTGTTAAAAATGTATGCCTTGTTTACTAAAGTTGTTATTTTAAATGTAGATTTAATGGCCACCAAAATTTGGAATAAATATTCTGCACTAAAGTAGTTTTATTTTTCAACTCAAGGACAAACCATTGAATCCACAGACATCTTAATTCCCTACTAGGTTGGCGTTCCAGGGAAGCTGCCTGCACTATCAGTATTTGTTTTCCTGTTAATACACAGTTTGCCTGAGATTCATTCTGAAAACAAACAAAAAAATCTGTTTTGAGCACTGTTTCATTGAACTTACTGGAGGAACTGCATTAATGAACAGACATTTTAGGATGAGATTTATGTTAAAATAAAATCAGCAGTTTCCAAAACAATCACTTACCAGATAAGCTGGAGTGTTTAAAAATAACACAGTTTGCACAATTATTTTAAACTCTGTGCCATTCAGACCATAGTGGGTCCCTGCCTTTCTCCATTTCTTCCCTCTTCCCCACCCAAGGTATTTTAGTACAAAAATGTAATTTGTTTATGTATATTTTCTTTTGAAATTTTTGACCAAACTTGCCACTGGAATGGTTTCTAAGTAATTCTTTTTTCCAGTCAGTTCATTCACAGGCAGAATGGAGTGTTTATGGATCACTAAATTTTTCCAAAGTGTACTAATCTGTAAATACAGCCAAGCACTTACTTGGAAGTCATGGTTTAATAATCATAATTTGGTTCCTAATTTAAGCCTTCATCTGCATGGGCAGTCTGAGGCTTCTAGTGATAGTGGTGGAGGTAAAAGGCAGGGTTCAGCTGCTTGATATCTTTCAAAATTTTGGTGTTATCACTACTAAGATAAAGTATTCACTAAAACTTGGATTATAAATTACGTTTTCAGAAATGTTACACTTGTAAATAGTTTGAGATTTTTGTGACTGGAACAGAGCTGGGGGGTGGGGAGAGTTTCTAAGCTGCTAAAATTTCTTTCCCTTCCCGCCCCTCCAACTTACTTATTTCAGTTATTGTAACATCATGTGGATTTAGGCTTTGATTAAATGGATCACAATAATAATTTTTTAAAAACCAAACAAAAACACTTATCTTGGAGCATACCCAGACTGTGGCTGGCTGACTGGAAATTGATCTGATCTGCCAGTGCTATTGCTATGAATTATTAAATGTTAGCAAAGGTTTAGTAAATAGATTTATTAAATATTTGAGCATTTCAAGTCCAGAAATAGATGCAGCCAAATGCATTTTAGAAAATCCAAACCAGTAATTGAAGAGACAGCTGTCAACAGTTGCTTTTAATAAGGTCACTAAGTACTATATAGTACAGTATTAATTTATAGCAGAAAATCATATCTTGTAAACTGTATATAAAACACTGTTTTATGGTGCAATCATTTGTCAAACTTATGTCTGTTACTTTTGTTTTAAAGTTGTGTGCATTCTTTTCATACCTAAGAGCATCACTGTAAAATCTGCTGAAGACTATTTATAGGTTTTATTTGCACAAGGTTTTGTTTTGAACTACAGGAAGTTCGTATTGAACATGCCTAAACATCTGTAGACTTTTTCAGTTCATGAAAAGCAAATGTTTCCATGTGAATCTTCTCCAAAGGTAATCCCATATTTGTGTTGAGTGTTTACATAAACTTTTCTGATTCTGCCAGCCATTATTTTTTAACTTTTTGAAGGACAGCTCATTTTATACATCACTAGAGAATTCCATTTATTATTTTGTTTCTAAATCCTCTCCCAAAGGTTTGACAACCCATCATAATGTAATTTGTGCACACTTTGTCATTTATTTGGCTAACAAAACGTAAGATTGGAAGCTGAAAATACTATCAGAAGGAAAAAGGAGTAAATTTGCATAAATATTATCATTGAGCTCAGCTGAAATAATCACGTGGAAAGCTGTTTGGCTGAGACTTGGGGAGGGTGTGCTTCCCAGAACACACCAGCCTCATCATTTAACGGGTTTGTGCGCTGTTGGTACAGCTGCAGAGCGGTGCCGGTGTCCGAAGGGACGGGCGGGGTGCCACGCTCCGAGCCCCGCTCTGCACGGGCAGTGCCACGCTCCGAGCCCCGCTCTGCACGGGCGGTGCCACACTCCGAGCCCCGCTCTGCACGGGCGGTGCCACACTCCGAGCCCCGCTCTGCCACGCTCCGAGCCCCGCTCTGCACGGGCAGTGCCACGCTCCGAGCCCCGCTCTGCACGGGCAGTGCCACGCTCCGAGCCCCGCTCTGCCACGCTCCGAGCCCCGCTCTGCACGGGCAGTGCCACACTCCGAGCCCCGCTCTGCCACGCTCCGAGCCCCGTTCTGCACGGGCAGTGCCGCGCTCCGAGCCCCGTTCTGCACGGGCAGTGCCGCACTCCGAGCCCCGCTCTGCCACACTCCGAGCCCCGCTCTGCGCGGGCAGTGCCACGCTCCGAGCCCCGCTCTGCACGGGCGGTGCCACGCTCCGAGCCCCGCTCTGCACGGGCAGTGCCGCACTCCGAGCCCCGCTGCAGAGCCGTGCCGGTGCCCCAAAAGCACGGGCGGTGCCACACTCTGAGCCCCGGCCTCTGCCTGAGCCGGGCCCTCCTGCCGTCCCTGTGTTCCCGAGACCCTGTTTAACCACTCCAGAACACACCTGTAGGTTCCTGTTTGCCCCGACACACACACACACACACACAGGTAAATGGAAGCTGTCCTTTAAAACCTTTGTGAAGGATGAACATAATGAAGGAAATGGTGTCTGCAGGCGGGCTGTCCTGCCTGGGCTCGAGGCCGGGCCCGCCGCCTGCACCCCCGGCCTTTACTGAGCGTTGTTTTCTATTGGTTAGAGCATTTTTTCAATTAATGATTTCCGAACAAATGTTAATACAAACTGTATAAAATGAACATAATTTTCTTCACTTGTATTTTTGTTATTGAGCAAGTTTATCAAAATAAATTGTCTACTAAAGCGACTGGCTCCGGCTGCACTGACTGGAACCAACCCTGCCCCGCACACAGGTGTGTCCTCCCTCATGTGTGTCCCCTCAGGTATCCTCCTTCAGATGTGTCCCCTCTCAGGTGTCCTCCCTCAGGTGTGTCCCCTCAGGTGTCCTCCCTCAGATGTGTCCCCTCTCAGGTGTCTCCCCTCAGATGTCCTCCCTCAGATGTCTCCCCTCTCAGGTGTGTGTGTGTCCCTCAGGTGTGTCCCCTCTCAGATGTGTCCCCTCTCAGGTGTGTCCCCTCACGCCCGGCGGGGCCTCTCGCCTCCCGCCCACCGGCGCCCTCAGGCGGCGGGAAGCGGCGCACCGGGGCCGGCTCCGTCTCCACCGGCAACGCCGCAACAGCGGGCGGGGGCCGGGCTGGGCCCCTCCTCTCCCGGTACCGCACGAGGGAAGGGTCGGGGCAGTGCCGGGAGGTGCTGAGGGGTTCGGGGAGTCGCTGGCGCGGTGCCAGGGAGGGAGGGAGGGCACGGGAGGGCCTTTCCCCCGTCAGGTGAGTCTCAGCGGACGGGACCGGGCGGTGCGGGGTTGGAGGGGCCGAGGGGTCTCTCCCCGGTGGGGTGAGGTGACTCTCGGGCACGGGACACCGCGGGGACCCGGGGCTCTTTCCCCGTGAGGTGAGCGGGGTCTCGGGGACGGCAGGGGCTGTGCTGACACCCGCTGTGAGCCGCAGGGCGCGGGTGGCCTGGGCCGGGGGGAGGCGGTGGAGCCCAGCCAAGGGAAAACCGGGATTTAATGGATTTTGCTTGACTCGTACCGCGCCCAAAGCCGAGGGCAGCTCGCCCACCCGCTGCCAGCCCGGCTGGCTCAGCTCCCGCCGCCGCGCTGGGCTTTGCTGTGGTTAATCTCTTTTTCTGGTTGAGCTCTGTAACCGGTTTCCCAGCAGCTGTGCACGCATATAATTAACTGCATAAAATCCATTAACAAGCAGCTCTGCAAAATAGTTCCTAAATGTGTTTTCTATAAATGAATAATTGTAACTTCTCTTTATATTTTAGTTTGCTGTTGTCCCACATACAATATAAATTATCATTTAAGTTGCTGACAATATTAATACATTACTAATAGTGTTTATTCCTGAGAATTTTAACTTTTTTGCTCTAATGCTTTCTTTTTATTTTTAACAAGGCTAAGTTTATTCATATAATGGATACACACATCAGGAAAATGGCGTGCTTGTTGGACAACGATCAATATTTGGAAAAAATTGGGTGAGGAAACCATTACAAAATCTAGTTGAGACTTCATATGTAGATAGAAAATAAATTATAATTCATGTAAAGTATATACTATATTCCTTCAAAACATCATGTATTAACTTAATGCATAAACAACCGTTAAAGTATAGAACAGTTCCTACAGAAAAAGCTTGAAATGACTTCATGACAATACAGGAATATTATGGGTAATGAATTGCTCTCATAAAATTATTATCTCGTAGGTTGACAAAATTCCATCTACAGGGTGATCATCCACCAGGGCAAGATTTTGCTGTGCCTCCTCTAGGACCAGATAATGCATTCCTGGGAACACATAGCAGCAAGACACAAGATGTGCTGGTAGGCGAGTTTCCTACAAAATGGAGCAGCTGGTACAGTAATGCATACCCATTATAACTTCACAGTGGGGAATAAATAAACTGATAGACAACTAATATGCTTCCTTACATACATTTGCATATATACACAGACAGTTTGATGGTGTGATCACTCATGTCAAGAAACTGCATGTACTTTCTCTGCAGAAATTAATCTGACAACAAATTGGGCAAAACAATAAATGAGATCAGCTGTTGATACTGCATTTTTCTTCCAAAAGGCAGAAGCCAAGTTCAAACTCTTTGTCATGTTTGGGAGATGCTTATTTTTTTCCTCTCTGGTAAATCACTGGGGTATTTATTTTAATTCTTTTCTTGAGCTCTCCTATTTCTTGTCTTCATTCCTGTCTGCTCTAAACTAAGCTGTCTTTTCCCTTCCTTTAGCTCACAGTCTGGGGGTATTGTGAAAGTTCCTTTGTGTCCCACATTCAGAAGAGTATTCCAGTACATAAAATTATGTTCTTGGACATGCACTGCCTAGCAGAGGCTCTCCTGAGGACTTAGATTTTTGTCACATTTAAACAGAACATTTAATTTCTCATACTGCATGTAATTTTTTCTCACTTGGTCTGTAGAGAGAACAAATGAAGAAAACACAGTCTCAAAAGGTGCAAACAACAGAAGAATGGATAAGAAACTACAGTTTGGAATCTTTGCAGTTAACATTAGAGTATCTGGTAAATGAAGGCAATATTATTTTTTAAGTTCAACACTGCCTTTTCTCTAGTTAGTCTTAATTTGTGTGCATCTCTGATGTTAACCATGCATAGTGCTCCAGGAATTCAGGAAATGATGGTGAAGTGTTGGAGTTTACAGAGGAAACTGTTTCTGATTTTGAATCCAGACTTTCTGAGTAAGTATCCTTCTTCTTTACTGTTTTGATGTGTAACTGATTCTGGATCTTCATTACTGTAGACACTACCTTGAATCCTAATTTGTTGTCTCTGGGCACCTCAGAGTATCTCAACATTAAATCCTTTCTGCTGAGATTAAGGGATAATTGTGTGTCACTGCAGCTGAGGTCTGGGGTTTTTTAAGGAAGATGTTTATCAGCCAGGTGTTGATGTGAAGCAGTTTGCTCATTTTGGAAAGGCAGCCAGTGCCTGCTCAGGTTTCCATATGTAACACTGTGTAGCTGGGGGTTATACTCAGGGAAACTTGGATTAGCTTCAAGCCATGGATGCAGTTTGATGTGGAAGTTGAAAGTATTCTAAGTGAATTTTAAATGTATAAAATCAAGAAACTTAAGTCATTTAATTTATAGATTCAATAAGCTGTAGAATAATCTTCACAATTGATAAGAGTGCTGCCATTTCATCATACCTCATTGTGTCAGGCTTTTATAAAACACAAGCAGCTTTTCTGCTTTGAAAAAGGAAAATGGATTTGCCCCTTTAAAATGTTGGCTTGAACTTTCTGTTTGCCAACTTGTAACCACTATGTGCATGGAATTAAAAATCCATTGGTTAAAGTAAAACAATTTTAGAGGGCAGGAAGCATTTTGTTTTACCCCAGGTTATAACTATTTTAATATTAGACTGTTGGAAGTTGTTCTGCTTTAGGGAAAGAAGTATTTAAATGGTGAGCCCTGCAACCACCAGTTGTGTAAGGGCATATTTAACATATTTTAAAACACCTGTTGCCACAGATTTTGCATCTGTGAGAAAGGGATGTGATGAAGAGAGGTGGTTGATTGTTACATTGAAACCCAGTGTGAGGGAATACTGTAGCTAAATGTGTGCTCTGCCTTTTGTCAGAGTGATTGAACTCTATCAGCACCGAATTCAGTGGCTGTTGCAGGACAGCAGAAAGGTAACTTGAGCTTTGCAGTATATTTTTAGAATGAAACTCTATATGTCAATAAAGACTAAATTGACTTTTGAATACTAGTGAAAAGTGGCTTCCAGAAGGCCTTTGTATTTTCCTTATTTGCTACAAGTTCCACGTCATATGCAGTGATGTTGACAGTGGATTATTTTTCCTCACCTTTCATTGGTGGTATGCAGTTTTCTGCTTTCTAGATTTACTCTTTTCCTTTCTCTTAGCAGTCTTAGTCATCAGCTCCTCTCAGCACAATTTAAATGGGAGCAGACAATGCTGAGCTTAACCTCTGCTTCTTGTAGTTCATTGTGGCCACCCTTGCACAGCTGCTCCATCACACTGTGCCTGGCACTGCTAGTGCTCAGATGTGACTCCCTCTTGAAGGGAATAGGGAAATCTGGTTTCCACAAAGTTGCTTGATTTAGCCTGAAGGGGACAAAGTTGTTTTTTATTTATCCTCTCAAGTAATGAATAAGTTGTCTTGGGAAGAAGGTAACATGATTCCTGGTAAGGATTAACTGGGAGCCAGTATGACTCTCTTTTTTTCTTCTTCTTTTCCACCTTGACTTTGTCATCTTTATGCTAAAAAGTTTAAAATTAAAATAAATACCTCATGCTTGATCTAAAAATGGTGTTGTACAGAATAAACAGTAAAATTATTAAACTGTAGATGAGCTAATATTTACAGTGACTTTTCTAAGGTGTTCGGTGTTATAAAAGGAACTAAAGTTGGACTTTTGGTTGATGTGTCTCATTTGAGTTATGGACCTAGACTATTGGATTTTCAGAAGAACCTTTTGGTAAGTAATAGTAAAGCAAATCTTGCCTGTTTTAACATACTAATCAAGCTTTTGTGGAACTAGAAGCCAGGAACCAAATAGAAAACAATCTGCTTAAATTCCTAATATACAATAGAATAGAAATTTTCTTTTGTAGAAAAGTGTGCTCCAAATGTCTCTGGAAGTGTATTTGTTAATGTCCAAAACAAATCCAAATCAAAACAAATCCAGTATACTTCAAAATATTATTAAGGAAAGTGTTATTAAAGTTTCTCAATTCTATCAACATTCTCTGTGGAATTAACTTGCTTAACAAAAGCAGCTGTAAGAGATAGACCCAAATTGTACATGGAGATATTTATAGTAAATATAGTTTCCTTTAAGAAAGTAAAGCCCACTTCACAATTTTTGTCAGAACCTTGGTGAATTAATAATTTTCTGTCTTCTCAGAAGAAACTTGTCCTTTATTGTGCTCTTTGCTTTTAGAAAACTTTTGCAGTAAGGAAGGAGGAGATAATGTCTATATTTGATGCTTGGTACAATTCAATTTCCCACATTCAGGAATTATTTACCATCAATTTATATTATTTGTATTTTTCATTTGTGTGTTTCAAATAAAACTGCTTCAAGAAAACTCAGTTTCCACAGTCTGGTTTACTTAGCTTGAATATGTGAACTATTGTTTAGCCCTATCCATGATTATGAGGTAACCATTTTTTAGAAATTGGATGGTGTGTGACTCTGTGCATTCTAGATCACTGCTGTTTCATGTGGTCATCAGCTGAAGAGACAAACTGCTACCAGTACAACAAATATCCCTGCCTTGTACCCCATTAACTAATAATTTGGAATGACTTAAGTTTGCATTTTTGTCTCTATCCTTACCGAATATTTGAATTTCTATGAGTTTTTCTTGGAAGCTTTTTTAGTGGTAGCTGAAAATATTGCTGTAACTATTTTTAGGAAATTACTATTAGGAAATAGGAAATTACTATTTTTAGTCTTTTACATGATAACCCTGCCAGAAGCAGCATGGATAGTAATGCATTCATAATTTTTTATTTATTAGTGCTTAATAGATGAGCAGCTTTGTTATAAGAAGGAATTGTACTGCCTCTCATTCAGTACAGAAATTTCACCACTGTGGGAGAGTCCAAAAACCATCAATGTTCATGTGTAAGTAAGTTAATTGCTCTGAAAAATCAAGTTGTTTCAGACAAGGTCTCCATTTAATTTGAGCAATCTCATGTAGGTAATAGTGGTTTTCATCTTGTGCCTGCAGTGATTTTAAGAGGGGAGAAAAGCAATGAATTTGACACGTGATCATTGGTTTCGAGATGGTTTTCACACATAAAATATCTTAGCTGCTCCTGTGGTTTGCAGTAATCTTTGTGATCTATCTTATTTAGCACCTAAATATTCTTTTTCCTGTTCCCTCTCCCAGGCTCCATGAAGTGAGACAGTGGGTGCAGGAGCTGGAGCCTGGTCGAGGCTGCAATTTGCTGAAGGCCTTGAGGCATGTCCTTCCAATGAGAGAACTGAATTCCTTGGTTCTCATTGTAGGAAACTGGTAAGTTCATTTCCTGTCTGAACAACCACATTTAACCTGGTACAGGATTGGTACAAGAAACTGAACTTGATACAAAAACAAATAGAAAATTCAAGGTCCGTGTATTACGTATTTTTAGTTTATACCTTTGAATTCCTTTATTTCTTCCCTTTTTACTATTTATGAATCTTTTCATTTCTGTTATGAAGCTGTGTGTTTCCTTTGCAGATCACTAATCACAGTAATTATTGAGAGCCTGCTAGCTCTAGTTTTACACCAATTAAGTG